TCTGTCCTAACCTGAGCTTTCCAGCCTTCATAATTAGGTAATAAGAGTCAAGAGCCTCACATCACACACAGCAATCAGCTGTCTCTGGCAGCCTCATCTTTATGACAAAGATGTCACCATTTGTCTGGACCTAGGGAGCTCAGTGCCTGCATTTCCCTTGAGGGCCACCTAGGGAGTTTCCCACATGGAAGGATGGTTTATTTAACGTATCACAGCAAGTTCTAGTGAAAGATGGTGAGGTTCACAGAGTAACGACCAACTGTCATCTCTTATTAGCTAGATAATTCACACTGGAGATTTGTTATATTAAGGGGTACTGAAATTACTTACATCAGATAACTGAATTATAATTAAATGCTATGTAGATCATTAAAATACCATTGTTCTTATTATAAACATAAATAATGGCTTCAAAACAGGCTGATTACAAAATTAGCTTATTTCTAGACACTGTCAGTTTGTCATGAAGTGGAAGCCTTGCCAAACCTGCCTGACCTCACAGCTCTTCCTCTGTCTCTGCTCTGCTGAGAGCCCCATTTTTGGTGGATGGAAAGAGTACCACAGTGAGCTGGTGAAGTAGAGAACTCGAAGCAGAGATCTAATAGCTACTGCAGGCCCTTCCCCTGGAGGCACCACTGAGCCCAAAGAGAACCCACATAAAGATGGACTCATCACCCATGAAACCAGAGGATTTTACTTCAGGAAAAAAAATTCACAAAAAGCTCAAGGGATGGTAAAAAATATCATCCTAAAGTGTTTCTCCATTTCAATGTCAGTTCAAAATCCCCCAGGGAAAATTTGAGTGTGGGGAATAAAGTCTTCATCACACTCAAGTTTGGCCTTCTCTCTACTCCATTTTCCAGTTTGATCTCTTCCCAGAACAGCCCAACTCACCACAGGAACCCCTCCCCTGAGTTCTTGGAGCATATATTGTTCATACCATTCCTAACTCCTTTGTAGACCTCTCTAGAATCACCATGCGGTACTTCTGTTTATCTCTTCCACTGATACTTAACTTTCACATGTCAATGACTTCTAAAAGTATGAGTCATGGCAGGGAAATACAAATATCATATGATATTGCTTATATGTGGAATCTAAAAAGGGGTACTAATGAACTTATCTACAAAACAGAAAACAGAGTTACAGATGTAGAAAACAAATTTATGGTTACCAGGGGGTAAGGGAGCAGGGGAGGGATAAATTAGGAGATTGGGATTGACGTATACACACTACTATATATAAAATAGATAACAAATAAGGACACAGGGAACTCTACTCAATGGCCTATATGGGAAAAGAATCTAAAAAAGAGTGGATATATGTATACGTATAACTGATTCACTTTGCGGTATAGCAGAAACTAACACATTGGAAATCAACTATATTCCAATAAAGATTTTAAAAATATATTCTGTAAAAAAAAAAGCATAAATCATGGGAGGTCAGGACCTTGTCTTTTGTGCTTCTGGTTCACCCACAGAACCTATGACGAAATAAAATTTGTGTTTTAAGGTGGGACAAGAAAAATTGAACATAAAATTCTCTGTTTGTTTGGGCCTTCTCCTTCCCTCCTTAATGTGCAGCGTGCATCTGCATCACACATTAACCAGAGCTCCTCAGAGATGGGAGTGCCTGCTCCACCATAAAGATCAATTGTTTTCTTTCTTCTGACGCCAGCAATGTAACTTCTTAAGAGAATGCCTTCTTCCCCAGCTCTGTACAGGATCACGGTGACTTGCTGCTGGCTTTGTACGTGCTTACCTGGACTATGGGTCCTTTGGGGAACTTTATGTTAAATGTCATGTCAGTATGTTGCTTTCACGTACAATCCTTTGTCTCAAAAATGTATACGACTGTGCCTTCAACTTCTAACAGGTGGAACCGTCCTCAGAGCTTTCTGAGAATCTTATCTCCTGGGTTATAACCCTCAGTCTGGCGTGAATAAAATTCCACTTTTTTTCTTCTTGATTGTTTAATTGAATTTTTATCAATACCTATCACATAATAAGTAGGTGTACAAAAAATACCTGCTGTTTTTTCAGAAAAGGAAGGTGTTGGAAAATTACAAAATCAAGAGAAACTTTATGTAGCAAATATATAATTGTGTGTGAATACATAAATGGATTTCAGTACAATTCAATACGAGGCAATACAAAAAGCATAAATCAAAGCATATTATAGCCCATTTTTAATTACTTTAAAGTAAATTATAATGTCCTCAGGGCCTGAAGCACTCGGATTCAGCTGGTTGAATCTGTGGAAGTGAAACCCACATGGATACCTAAGGCTGACAGTGTTAAGCAATAATAGAGACCAAAGTGGGAGGTTTTAAATACCTTCAAGTTCAGACAGGAAACCTTCCCTTGGGATAATGCTGACTTGATCCCCACTTAGACCTCACTAAATCCATCACTTTGGTTACCTGGCCAACACACATAAGTGGTCAGAATATAAGTGAGTGTACATGTATGAGGGAATTCTGTCTACTGTCTGTGTTTGCAGTATTGGTTCTTTCTTCCCCCAGCCCCACTCATCACTAGACACCAAGGATCTGCAGCCCGTAGCCTCAGTTCCATTTAATTTCCCCTGTGTAAACCTAACAGATCATGCGGTACAGTGAAAGAGTTCAGGCTTTTGGTCTAGACAGCACAGGGGTCAAATTCTAGCTCAGTTCTTTGCTAGCTATGAGTACAAGGGTAGATTAGGAAGCATCTAAGGCCCAGTTTTGAAATGGAAATAATAATAAATCCTCACAGTGATTTTTGGAAGGTCCAACAGGGTCTCAATATATGTTATTTCCCCTCAGCCATCTTGGCCAGACCCTCTGCTGGGAGCTGGACTCCTATGTCCATAACCTCTACCACTAGATCGGCTCTCACTCTAAGTCACTAACCACAGGAACCAAGATCCTCCATTATTTTGCCTCCAAATGCCACCCCTGCCTGCAGACACCTGCTGGCATTCTCTACCCACCAGACTGGATCCACTTCATTCTTGGACTAGAGCCCAGATACTGGTCAAAGTCACCACATGACTTTGAGGAAGTGTAACTTGGAGCGCAAACCAACACCATGCCATCCCTACCCATCTGCGTCTTTATTTCCTCTTACCAGCCTGTCCTTACTTACCAGCCTGTGCTCAAGTCCCAGAACACCTCCCTGATGAGTCTTCAATGAAATATCCATTTAAAAGGATGGCACTATCTGCTGGGCCACTGGGAAGTGCAAACTGAGGCTCACTTGCATCATCTGACCTAAAGTCTAAGTGCTTTATAACGTTCATGTGTTGTATTAGAAAGCCATAGTCAGAAAAAATAAATACAAATATTATATAAAGAGAGGAAGCATTTATATAAGGGGCCACCCAGATTCTGTCTAATTTGGAGAGGCTATAAAAAAAATAGTGGTTAAATGCAGAAATTCATGAGCCAAATTATGCAGGTTTGACACCCGAATCCACTGTGTCATTTGGGACAATTTACTTAATCCCTTTATGCCTCAATCTCCGCATCTGTAAAAGGAGGATATGAATAAAAACTACCTCATAGTGATAGTGAGTATTAAATAAACTAATGCATTTAACACACCTGAAACAATGCTTGCTGCGTGGTGAGTGGCAGTGTTGGGTTTACTCCTGATTGCAGAGGCTACTGTCAATTGATGGGCATCGCTAGATTTAGATGGGAAATTTGTACCAGTCTCAAAGTGTGCATTATAAACAATTCTTGGAGGTGGAGTACTGTTATGAGTTCAATTGTGTCCCCCTCACAATTTATTTGTTGGAGTCCTAACCCCCAGTACCTCAGAATGTGAACGGATTTGGAAATAGGGTCACCGCAGATGTAAGTAGTTAAGATAAGGTCATACTGCCCCCATAATCAAATATGACTGGTATAATTATAAAATGGGGAAATTTAGACACAGCCACACACGTAGGGTCTTTCACTAAGAGGCCCAGGCCTTGAGGGAGGGCTGGAAGTCTTACTTCGGGAAGCAACACATTCTGCACCATACTGGTATGATAAAGCACTCATCCCCTTGAATCGTCCCCACTAATGCCATAGGGAAACACATACATCATGTAAATAGGAAAGTAGAGGGCAGAGCGATGCACTTAAAAACCTAAGAATCCAAAGATTTCAAGCAACCACCAGCAGCTAGGAGAGAGGCATGGAAGTGTCCTCAATAGGAACCAACCCTGCCAACACCTTGATCTTGGACTTCCAGCCTCCAGAAGTGTGAGACAATACCTTTCTGTTGTTGAAGTCATCAACTTGTGGTACTTTGTTACAGCAGCCCTACCAAAAGGATACAAGGACGGGTCCAGGTGTCAATTTTAGTTGAGGTCAGTCAAGCACGAGCAGCTTGTGGAACACCTCAGGACACTGTGCCATGAAGAACAGGAATGCCATCCAAGGCACAATCCTTATGAATCGAGGTGGCAAACACACACACACATGCACACGCACACACATACACACACACAACACTCCATTCAATGTGTAATCAACGACCATTGAGTGGATGGACAATTCACACTACAAGAGTTCAGAGCAAGGTAATCATGGAAACTCTACTAGAAAGGCTACAAATACACTCCAGCACTAGGTGGAAAGGGTTAATTTCCTGCAAAATTCTTTAAAACCAAGAAATCCATGCTCAAGGATCCTGCTTCCCCCTTTCATCCCCCCTTCCCCCTAATTCTAACCCATCTTTCTCAGCATATCCTTTCCCCAAAGGATCTGTTCAATCCATAGTCACTCCCATACACATGTGAAATTCCTCCCCTTTTGTTCCTTCAACTCTCTATGCAGAAGATGCTTTGCAGCAACAATCCCATTAGCTTTACAAATGCTGTTTGGAAATCCAGGCAGAGCTATTGCTTTCTCAGATGGTTGGGAACGTGGTACTCCAAGTGATTTTTTTATCCCAATTTCAGGGTCATGCTGCTTGGATCTGTGGAGTGGGGAGAGAAGGAAGAGTAGGAGAAAATCTTACCTCTCCCCAATCCCAGCAGAATCAGGCAGGTTTCCCTGGAAGGCACCAATGCTACAACAAACAAATAATAAATATTCCTTCACTAAAATGATAAGTCTCACTTCGGTAAGCAACACATTATACACCATACTGGTATAATAAAGCGCACATCCCCTTGAATCATTCCCACTAATACAATGTATTCAGTGCTCATATGATTACAGTTTTACAGCCTGTTAGCAAAAACACATACAATTGAAAAGTGCAGCTAATGCAATGTGACAGAATACTGTTATTACAAGAAGAAGTTGTCAGCACCGAGCAATTGATTTTCCTTCATCTCCTTCCTGCTTCTGCCCATCCTCCCCACCTCTCCTGGAGATGTTTATTATATACTCTAGGTGCAGTCCTTTCTCTGAATCAATTCTAATAGAGTGCAGTGAAAGAATACAAAGACAGGAAAAGTCAACACTCTTCTAGGTGTTCTAAGGGGAAAAAACTTTCTTTGGGGTTATTTTCTTCTCCAAGTCTTTATTAAAGCTTAGGGAACTATGTCTCATTTCCCCCAGTTAATGATCTTATCCTTTTGCTCTATTATGCCATGCCTATATATTGCCCCTTTCTTTTTCCTTTTCTTGTTTTCATAAAGTAAAAATAGAGGTGGCTTTTAAGGATGAGGGCTCCTACATTCCTGCTGATTCACTTCCATGCATTTTGAAGAGCAATGGAGGGACAAAAGTAGGAATACAGGAGACCAAAAGGATAAATTATTTGGTTATTGCTTGGTCAATATTTTCTTTACAAATGCCTACCTCCATTCACAAGGTGACAATAGCTATATTAAACAATAATAGCAACCTAATCTATAATAGAATGATAGAATTGTACAATTGGATGGGACATAGAAATCATCAAATCCATTGTAATTTTACAGATGAGAAAAATCCAGCCTCCAAGAGTTAAGGAATTTATCTGAATTCTCACCACTAGTGTGAGAGCTGAATCTAGAATTCACTTTTTTGCTGCTGTACCATCCTATACCTTTAAATGTAACACACATCAATGAGTTACTGAATTACCCAATGGCCCTTAACACCTTTTCTGTTTCTTGGTTATGATGGAATAGAAGAGTTCCACTTGTCAACGTAGGTACAAGGGAGAACAGAAAAATCCATGAAAATTGCTTAATGGACCTCTGAAAGATCAAGTTCTCAGAGCAAACATTAAAATACCCTGGCTTGTAGATTCCATTTGTGGGTGATGCACCCTCCTAAAATACAAAGAAGTGCTATTTCTCCCCTACCCTATTTCAGTGTGTAATTCCCACATCTTCCTTTCCCACCTCACCTCATTAAAAGAATGCACCCTTTGTTGGTACCAAACATAAATGCTGATGCCTCCTCTCTCACTCAGCAGGATCTCATTATAACATCTGAATATCTGATAGTTACATGAACCAAGGGTCACATCAAGGTCTCCAAGCATTACTGCTCATTAGTATTCGAAAGGTAAAGCCTCAGACAGTTGGGTTTTGACCCACTGGGGCAATTGCATCTGTGGTTCTGGTTACACTTTACATTTTTATAAATTGACCGCAAAGTTTGGGATCTTTCCTCTTGAAGATGGCTTAAGGTACCCCCATGTGTGAATAGAGGGTGCAGGTGCTGATTTTGGTTTTGGTTTATGATGCCAACTAGCAAATATTCATGGATGGACAGCATTTAATTGGGGCTGAAACTTACCTGCATTGAGTAGGGACTTGTAGATACAAGTACCTGTTCGAGAAGAGCCACTCTCCCTCTTGGCTGTACACCCTTGAGCTGCCCATATTAAGAAACAGAAACAGAAAGAAAGCAGGGCGTACCTCACATAATCTAGTGTAGCAACCCTCTGGAAGCACTGGCCCGCTGCGACACAAGTGGCCTGAGCCAACTTTATAAGGTTTGGGGAGACTCACTTTGCTTTGTATCCATCTCATCTTTATCACCCTCTTTCCCCAAATAAACATACTTTCCTGGGGCCCCTTCCTGCAAACCCCACAAGCAGCCGGTCTCTGTTCAACAGTATTCTTGGCTTTCCTCTTTCCACAACAATTGTGGAAATGCCATTTCCTACATCTTCCCCTGCCCATAAATCTACTAATCATGCTAAGACATTAGGTAGGAACCACCATTTGTGACTTTAACAATGGTAATTTCCTATAGTTCAACCTAATACTAACGGGTAGCAATTAAGACACTATCCACTCTCTGGTTCTTTTTTTTAAACTTCTTTTTACAAAAAGCTTCTTTGGACATGAATGCCTTTCATAGTGTAAATTTCAGGCCTGGTTGACATGTGTCTGCTGCAGGGGTGCTGTGACACTTCCAGAAAGGCCACTAGACATCCATCTATGACACATTCTAATACTGCAACAGGTAAAGGGAAGGGACGAGGGAGGATTTTCTTCCTCCAAATTCCAATTCAGTTAAACTCATTATGTTCACTGAACATCTAAACATGGCAGACACCATACTGAGTGCTGTGAGAAAAGGAAAGATGCAGAGTAAGGCACAGTCTGGGGCCTCCAGAAATTCTTAATCTGGGTAGGAAGACAAATTCATAAGTGCCAAGTGGTATAAAAGAACCACCACAAAATGTTTCGAGAGCTGAGACAGAAGAGGTGAATTCCTACTCAGAGTACCCAGTCGAGGCAACATGGAGCAGAAGAATCAGCCCTGGTCCCTGTAGGAGGTATCAGTAGGTAGAACGCTGAGGCTAGGGCGTCCAGCAAGAAACAATCACTATTAATAATCATGCAGGCCTCCTTCTAGGAGCTAGTTATGCTGAGAGTGGTTATGACACCTCTGGTGGTGTTCGTCATCTCCTGCTGTTAGGATGAGGAATCCAGACCAGCAGAAGAACTGGGGAAGATCTCGGGCATATGTTTGCTTGTATCTCCCTGTGTTCATTTATCCAGCACTTTAACTAACCAGCTATGATCTTCTCCAGAACAGGAGATAAAATGACAAATGAAATGTGGAGCAATAACAAAAGGCTAAGGCAAAGTTGCTGGTTTTATTGCATGCCTTTTCATGGGCAGATAGGCGATAAGGTGACAGTGATGAAATAAAAATGACCTACCTTTTAAAAAAAGATAAAAATCAGGTAATTACTGAAGCTTCAGTTTTTTATGAAATAATTGGCAATGACCTTTGATGAAGAAATCACATTGTGATACTGCTGACAGGACAATTTTCCACTGAGGCAGTGGGGAGATATGTAGCAGCTGGTTCCAAAAGCAGGAAAAATGTAATTTGTTAGCCCAGGCAAGAAAACTGCTCATTTATTGATACAAGACTGAACGAGTGCAAAATTTTTAACTGCTGGGACTAGAGGAGGCCAGTTAACCAATGCTGTTCTTGGATAATGTGACAGGTCATCACCAGTGCCCTGCCTCTATTCCCAGAGGTCCCTGTGGCGTTCCAATGCTGATGGCTCCGGGTGTCTCTCTGCCTGAGGGCTTTTCCAGCTATACTGCCCCATAGGCTGGAAGTGCCAAGGTGTTAACACCCCAGGACCAATGCACAATCAAGGGCAGAGCTTAGTAGAAAGTAAACCAGATTCATCTCTGCTCAGTGGTACCACCCAGATGTGTGTTCTACAGCCTGTCCTTGAGTCCCCAGCAGGATGGAGCCTCAGTTGCCCACAGCTGTAACCCACTCATTAATATACTTTTCATTGACTTCCTCACTCTCTGTCGTAATTCCCCACTCTCCATCTGGGCTTCCTGGGATCACCTCCCAGATAAACAACTTGTATCCAAATTGATGTCTCAGAAGATGCCTGGGGGTAGTGCAGGTCCAAGGAATCAAACTAAAACACATCATTTTTTCACATGCTGGTGTCTCAACGAACAAATATTTATTGAGTACCTATGATCTAAATAGCACAGTGCTAGGCTTAAACTACAAGAAAGCTTAAGTTCTAATTGCAAGAGACTCACAATCTAGGTGCGCAAGTAAAACATGGATTCACCAAATGTTAAATAATGAAACTGGCAGACCTTCAAAATGGCAGAGGAGTAAGATGTGGAGATCACCTTCTTCACTACAGATACATCAAAAATAGATCTACACGTGGAACAGCTCCTACAGAACACCTACTGAATGCTGGCAGAAGACCTCAGACTTCCCAAAAGGCAAGAAACTCCCCACGTACCTGGGTAGGACAAAGGAAAAAGGAAAAACAGAGACAGAAGAATAGGGACGGGACCTGCACCTCTGGGAGGGAGCCATGAAGGAGGAAAGGTTTCCACGCACTAGGAAGGCCCTTCACTGGCAGAGATGCGGTTTGGAGGGGTGAAGCTTCAGAGCCACGGAGGAGAGCGCAGCAACAGGGGTGCAAAGGGCAAAGCAGAGAGATTCCTGCACAGAGGATCAGTGCCGACCAGCACTCACCAGCCCGAGAGGCTTATCTGCTCACCTGCCGGGGCGGGTGGGGGCTGGGAGCTGAGGCTCGGGCTTCGGAGGTCAGATCCCAGGGAGAGGACCAGGGTTGGTGCATAAACACAGACTGAAGGGGGTTAGTGCACCACCGCTAGCTGGGAGGGAGTCCAGGAAAAAGTCCGGACCTGCCTAAGAGGCAAGAGAACATTGTTTTGGGGTGCGCGAGGAGAGGGGATTCAGAGCAATGCCTAAATGAGCTTCAGAGCCGGGCGAAAGCCGCTGCTATCAACAGGAGCATGAGACGCTAAGGCTGCTGCTGCCGCCACCAAGAAGCCTGTGTGCGAGCACAGGTCACTCTCCACACCTCCCCTACCGAGCGACTGTGCAGCCCGCCACTGCCAGGGTCCCGTGATCCAGGGACAACTTCCCCGGGAGAACGCACGGCGCGCCTCAGGCTGCTGCAACGTCACACTGGCCTCTGCCGCCGCAGTCTTGCTTCACATTCCGTACCCCTCCCTCCCCCCGGCCTGAGTGAACCAGAGCCCCCTAATCAGTTGCTACTTTAACCCCATCATGTCTGGGCGGGGAACAGACACCCTCAGGTGACCTACACACAGAGGCGGGGCCACATCCAAAACTGAACCC